TTAAAATTGATTATTTTCTTTCGTTCAAGGTTTTTCCCATTCGTATAATTTGATTTTGTGTTTATGCATATGTTATTGTATGTTATTATTATCATGCTAATTTAAAAGAAAGAATTGGTTTGTGCGTGAGCAATTATTGACGTGAGAAATAGTTTTATTGTTTTTGGATATTTATTTAATAATTATCAAATTTTTTATTTTTAAACTGTCGTATTTTATTTTAAAAAAACACAATTCCACCATTATCTCTACAAAATATCAATCTAAATTCCCCGATTGATTTAATCATTAAAAGCATATTAATTTGCGATTCACACACAATTCACAAAATAATAATATGTTGATATTACTCGCATTATAATATTCTACACAAATAATTCAAATAAAACAAACCCTGACACCATAAAATGTGTGGAATATAAGATTTTATTTACGACTAATCTTGATAATGATAAAGAATGATAATAATAACCACAAACATCAGAAAAGAATAACACAAAAATAATTTATATTGTTTAATTAGATGTTAAAGTAAAAAAATTTTTATATGATAGTCTAAATCAGTAAATTTCAGTGTGTAACTATGCCGACTTCTACAAATTTGTAAACTATTACTATTTACAGAAAACTGCTAATGTACGATGTTACACCCGCATTGAATTTTATACACTGGTCTAAATCGCTATAAAAGCACCTGAAAATAAACAAAAATCAATATTTAAAAAAAGTTACTAAAAAAAATTTAAAAAATTAAAAATGGATTATCAAAGTTATGACAATAATGATTTGATTAATGGCACTAATAACCAAGGCCCCAATCGTGTTCTTCATTCAAACGGAGAAACAAATTTTACCGGCTCGGCTCCTATTCAAAACAATCAAAATGCCGAGTTTGCTGACTTTACCCATGGAAACTTAGCTCATGACAATCTCAATCAACAAAACACTTTTAACAGCAATTCTGTTGGTCCAAACAGCATGGTTCAAATAGGTGTCAATAACCAAAATTTTAATCTTGTTTCTCATCCAAATGGACAAACAAATTTTACCGGTTCGGCTTCTATTCAAAATAATCAAAACATCGATTTTACTAACTTTACCCATGGAAACTTAGTTTACAACAATTTCAATCAACAAGGCACTTTTTGATAGCAATTCTGACGGTCAAAACAGTATGATTCTAACAGTTGCCAATAATAACAATAACAACATGAGCACCGCTTATCAAGGCTCCCAAATTTCTAATACTTATCAAAATGATCAAATAGTAATTAGCTGCCAGCAGCTTCTAGATATTGTTAATCGACTGTTAGAACTATTATAATAACATAATAAATTTTTATTTTATTTTATATATTTGTATTAATATAATATATACAATTTGACCGTATACATTTTTATTTTGTTTTATTTCACTTGAAGTTTAAAATATTAAAAATAAGATTATAAATTTATATTTTTCTTCATTTTTCAATAAATTCATATATGCAAGAATGAATTTACTTAGCAATACCAACACCATCTGAGTGGTTGTTTTCATTTACTGGGAATTTATTTACAAAAAAAAAAAAGAAATAGGTTTGATATAAGATTATCCAAGTTCTTAGCCGGCAAGGGGTTTTCACCGGCTGAAATTACTAACGGTGAAACCAATTTTTATTTTGATTATAATTTTATGTATAAAGGTTTGGTTGAAAAGTCGTTATTTTAGTATTTCATAAAGGATCACTGATTGTATCATTGAATTTTAGAATAACAGCACGACCGCTAAATAAATTGAAATTAAAAAATATCAGATAATTTGACTACTAAATCTTTTTATTATGCGCCACTGAAGTCCTTGTATGAGATTTAAATACTTTCATATTTATTTAATGATATTATTATTATAAATTCTTGTTAAAAAATA